TGCGTGGATCGCATGGTGCTCATCCAATTCCAGATCCTTCGCCATGGTAACTGCCGTCTTGCAAGTCATCCATGACCGGTAATAGTATCCTCTTTTCGGGGCGCTCTCTCGAGCCTTTAGGAGCAACAACAAGGCTTGCAACGTGCTCAAGCGAGGACTATCGAGAAAGTACGCCTCGTGCTCTAATATCTGTCAGCATCATACCTATGGAACTTCAGTGCGTACTTACTGTTGGCTAGCGCTAACCACTGAGCACCTTGGGCAGGATCATCCGACAGCCGACCAGCGTTGGCAAATATAGCCTCGAGAATGAGAGGAGGTATCGACCCCTTGTCGTTGAGCCACTGGTCATAAAATTGCTTCCTGTTCAAGACTGGTACATAAGGGTGTACATCTCTGAAAAAGGTCGCAAAAGCCTCTAGAGCGTCTTCATCTGACGGCATAAGGGCTGGCAGAATACGAATCTGAGACCCTGCTCCAGTGCTAAATGCTGCGGCGATCTTTGGCTCGGGCTCGGGCTCTTGAATGGGAGCAGTCGAATCCTTGTGGTCATTCTCGGATCTTAGGTAAGGCGCGATACCGTTCTCGCCGATTCTGAGGTGCCCGAGACGTTCTGACATCTCCTCAGCTGTCATTTGGTCGATCGGCGATGAACCAGCACGCTCGTCTCGAAGAGGGTCGCTGTCCGGCGAGATCTGGCCGTATTGCGCACCAGTATCTTGATAGGGTTGAGTCGAGGTACCGGGGAATTGTTGAGGGCTCGGGTAGTAATTGCCATACGACTTTTCCATCATCTCATATGAGGGTCTTGGATAATTGGCTACATAACCGTTGTAGGAAAAGGCACCGCCTTGATCCGTTTGATAAGATGGGTTTGGAGGCACATAGTTCTGTGGTTGCGGTACATGCATGCCCGGAGCTGAAGTATAGGATTGTGACTCGGCCGTCGGATCGATGGCGTTGTCGGACGTGCTATCGCCAGCCTCGCCATCCAGGCCTCCTGCAGGAGGTACACAATGTAGCTTGAGTCGAACACAGGCGGCGCATGGCCACGTGTTGGTGGTGGCGGAATCACATTTTATTTTGCGACGACGACAGCCTTCACAAGCTCTCATCACCTTGAGTCGCTTATGTCGATTATGTTCATCAACAAAGACATAGTTCTTGGGACCTGTCGGAGGCCCGGATGTCATCGAATAACTCTGCATGGTGGGAATCGCGTCTGTGTCGGATCACACCACATTTGGTAAGTGCAGAGGCGGACGACAGCTCAATCCAGGAGAATGCCCGCGATGGGCGGGCCAGAAGCAATCCAGTCACAAGGACCTTATGTAAACAGTAGATCGGCTTGGCTTCAGGGATGTCGAAGATGTGTATGCGCTGTAGCTGAACTTGCTGATGAGAGGATATATTATTATTGATGATGGATGATCAAGAAGGTGAACCTTGAAAAATCGGTGTGTCGAGGATCAAGAAGATGGTTTCTGGTGGTGGCGCAATTTCACACACGCTTGGAACCTCGGCACTAACAAGGATCAAATGCGTCTTGACAAGGAGCCTTTTACTCTGAAAGACATTACGACCTGGAGTATTGAGAGCTGGTAAGGTATCGTGGAAGTCTCGACCATTGAAAAGTGGAAGTGACGCCCCCGCGAAAAGCCCAGAGTGTTGTTAAGTGGAGGTAAAGAGTGTCTGACAGCAGATGTTTCCGCTTATGCGCCTCGAAGGGGCCACACAAAAACCGATGGAATAACAAACAACTCAAGATCGTTCACGGTGCATTGACCACGATCGACTTATTGAGGCTGTTGTACTGATGGTCCTCTGCGCGTCATCCAACCGTCGTTTGTTTGTGGGTGGAATTACGGAGCTCCCATTGATGTCAAAAATTGAGAGGGGGGAGATCAGGAGGAGGCTTGAGAACAGTCTGTGCCATGTGGTGGGTTGGTGCGGCACACAGGTCTCGCCAACTTCACAAGGAGCAAATCCCAATGTTACAGCTTGGTCGATTGTGCCTTTGATTTGGTGAGCAAAATTTGCAAGGATTGTCTGCAGGACCCAGGGAGCTGTGTGCCTGGCGTCTGCCTCAGATGCAACATGGACTACTTCATTGATTCGCCCCGAAACGCCGCTAACCGTTGAATACTCCGTACATTCACGGATTCGGGCAGCTTTCTCTGGGCATCATCCGGTGGGTTCAAGTTTCTCGATACCAGATTTTTCTGATCGGAGTTCCCATGCACTTCATCTGGACTCCAGTCACCTATCTACGAGACCTTTAGTAAGTGCAAATGTAAGCCGGATCGAACTGGCGTATGATATGGTGCACATCATGTTGAGCGCACGACCATTATGAAGGGAAAGAGGTCACAATCGCGGACAACTGGGCTACGAAATTCGGTCAGAACTATACGTCGATCTACATGAACAGTTGTGCCTAGGCTTGCTGCATGGCTGTATCACTCGCTACGAGTAAAGTCCTGGCAGTAAGCGCATGTTCCTGAACGCGCAAGTCTGAGATGTTTGCCACCACAAGGTGCCATCTATGGAGTACAGTACAGCAATTCCGGGGCATCCCATGCTCATCAGTGGCCAGAAGCCTAAGAGATAACCATGGGCGCAACTTGGCCCCCAAACAGGCCCTCCACCCATTTTTCTATAAGGCTTCCATTCGGCTTCCATCTGGACTTCTCTGGGGCTTCGATCTGCAATGTTAGTATAGTGTAGTATCCATACCGGAAAACATTACCATCTTTTTATGTGTTCATGATGATATTGATTGCAGACCAAAGCTTGTGCCTGCCCTCCAAAGCATGGACTCGTCCGACATTGCTCAGACTGGTTAAAGTTCAATCGCTGCTGACAGCCTAGCTTCGACGCACGTTGTCTGTGTCGCTACGGACCGAATCAATGAGCGCAAACCATCAGCAGCATGATTGTTGTAGGTAGGTTCAGCACAGACAGTACCCTGAGTCTTGGGACAATTATACGTCACCGCTTTGAAGGGTTGCAATGGTCGAAGCTCTACATATTTACAAGTGATCTTGACAAATCAAAGCGAATATGCACTGGTGGCATGTGGGAAGATGAGAGGGAAAGCGCCCGCCGGCTAGATGAAGATGCCCCTCACCACGACCGATAGGACAGTCTTGGACTCGGCAGATACTGTAGGATCTGAACCTTACCTCCCGCCACTACCTTCTGATTTACTCGTACCAAGGCTTCGGGCGATCACAATTCAGCCACATGGACAACTAAAACGTTGGACTCCATGGCTTGAGAATTCAAGCTTTGTCGTAAAATGTTGCGCTGAAGTATGGCAAAAGAAAGTTGGGTTCACATCATTTCCGCCGCCATCGCGGCAAGCCTGTTTCCAGAAAAAGTGGCACTGTCTGACCGCTGTTTCCCCTTGGCTTCAAATAGGTACCATTCTCTATTGTTATGCGAGAGTCCTTTGTATACACCGAGATAGTATCAACCTTTGACAAGGGGAAGGGCATCAGCTCTATAATACATTCCTACTAGCTTGGAGTCAGGGTACCCACTGTCGCGACCCTGCTTGACTTCGAACTTATACCGTCGATGTACACCTTGTCAGACGGTGCCACCTTTTCTGGAAACAGGCTCGGCGGGCTGCGTGGCATGCCAAGCGTCCGCAACAAGGCACGAAGGTGGGACATTGAAACTTAGTTCAGATATGAATGGTAAGGTTGGCACGATCAAGTGACGAGACAGGCCGCATACAGAGTGCAACGAGGGGTGGTAACCCAGACAAAGAAACCCCCAATATAAGCTCGAGAACAGGAAGACCTGGAGGGCCTTTACCGTAAAACTGGATGAAGGATAGAGAGCCTGGGTTGATATCAGGTAGTTCTGACCCGACAACAAAGTCAAATGCAGCAACATTGCCAAGAGATGGAAGACTTGTCCCAATGAGGTCAAGTGCAGCGTACTAGTAGGTGGAAGATGTCGGGGGACGAGGTTCTTGCGTCTTCAACACCACTTTGTCTCGCAACGTACTCGACGTACTCATCTCAAGCTCTTCCCCTTGCCCGAGACACCTGGTATTGAATCCGCTAAGACTGTCGCTGTGATAACCATTCGCCATGGAGGACGGGAAGAATGCCAACCCTCTCATCATCAATCCCTCAGACTTGCCCACGCGAAGGCGGCGGACATCTGCGCGGGACGAACTTGCGCATGGCACCATCACCTATCCTGCGCCCACATTCAGCAACGACCCCTTCGAACGCTCGTCTAGTCCATCTTCACTAGGGGAAAGCGACAGTGATGCCGAGGATGAGCCCATTGATACCCAAGAAATTTACGACCTCATTGCCACCATGTCCGATCCCGAACACCCCATAACCCTCGGCTCGTTGGCCGTGGTGTCACTCCCCGATATCGCCATCAAGCCTACACTCCCGAGTCGGCCGAACTCGAACCTTGAGACAGTGACTGTCTTGATCACACCGACCATTCAGCACTGTAGTTTGGCAACTGTTATAGGATTGGGTGTCCGAGTCAGACTAGAAGAGTCTTTGCCACCAAGATTCAGGGTGGATGTCAGAATCAAGGAGGGCACACACTCGACAGCAGATGAGGTCAATAAGCAATTGGCAGATAAGGAACGTGTGGCTGCGGCGCTGTGGAATCCCACGTTGCAGAGCTTCATCAAAAAGATGTTGGAGACTTGTGAATGATTATGTAAAACAAAAAGACATGTATGAATTTCGAATGAAGCGATCGAGCGTATTTGACCTGCGAGTCTGGGGTGGTGGTACATTGAATGCAGTCATACGGCGTTGTGATAGACTGGTCCTCAACGTGGGCACTCGACCACATCCTTTCCAGCTCCTGAGACATTCCCATCGCCACACGAGATAAGGCACAACAACGAATGGTCCAAAAAAGAAATAGCCATTCACGACGAATGAAATGAGTTGTCAAACGAGGGAAGCAAAAAAGAGCAAAAAAGCATCGATAATGGATCGGAGTCGAGCCGACCGTGGGACTCGAACCCACAACCTTGAGATAGACTGTTTAAGAGTCTCACGCTCTACCGATTGAGCTAGGAAGGCGTTCAATCTGTGGGATCGAATTTGAATGAAAATTTGCTGGTCTAGCAAATAAAGGCACATTTTTTTTCACTGTGGGTGACAGTGAAATGAATCTGGCCTAGGCTCGGATATTGCCTTCCGTGCTTCCGCAGCCTGCCACGTGATCTGGGAAGAACCATACTGGCAGTAGTGAAATGGTTTGAAGTACAAGTATCAGCAAGGCTAGGCTAGAGAAGGTCTGTGCATTGAACATTCAAAGCATCAACGTTATCAATAGTCACGCGATAGAGTATTGGAGGCGCGTACAAGTACAGAGGATGTTTGTGGCAGTCTCAAGCGAACCAACTGGATGGGAGACTACCAGCACGGGTACCTCACAATTCCCAGTTGCGTATGTGGTGACATGGTGATACATCATCAATTATACCTAGCCTTGCATGCCGGTATATCCGGCCGCCGCCGCATCACAAGATGATCGCGATATAGTAAGCTAGATACTGAGGCACCAACTCAATTCAAGACACTTATACCCTACCACATCCGAGCGAACCTATTTCCTGAGACACACTCCAGGAGATGAGGCCAAGTAACAGCGAGGTGCACACTCAGCATTTAGCTTGTATACCTCGTACAGCCCGTAAGCATCTGCTCAGGCTGACTAGACGGAGTCACACTGATGTACGTCCCACTATCCCGAAACCGATGGCAGATGCGAGGTGGATTAGATGTACTATAATACGTGGCTGTCTTTTGGTACCGCGATTTCGGCTCGCTTAACTCCGGTGGACTTGACTCTTCCTATAGTGCTATGATGTACGAAACTATCAATATGACAATAGTACAGACCCCGTCCTCACCCAAGAGATTGAAAAGTCTTGATGCACGTGTTCGGCAGCGGAATTGCCTTCTTGGCAAGCCAGAAAACTCAAGGTCGACGATCCAAACATGTAGTCAATTGGCAACCAATCATATGTGCACGTGGGTGGGGGAGGTACATTAATTCGAACCTCATCCCACTGGAAAAATGGTCCACTTTGCATCTCCAGCATCAGAATTTGTTTTCTAGCTTTGCCGTTAAGCGAACAGACAACTTGTCACCATCCACTCACACGCCACTTTGTCAACGGATCCAGAGTCACATCCGTGAGGAATCCCGCCGGTCAATTGCGGTAGCTGCAATCGCAGTGGTTGGCATCCCCCTTCCTCGCTTTGACCTCCTCCATCCTTGCGAGGAGCTTACGCCTAGGAACGCCTCCCAACTAGCTCCCGAAAGCTTCGTTCTCTCCGTCCTTTCGCCGCTCCCCTATTTGCGCCTCACAGGTCATGAAAGCTTCTCCCACGCTCAAATCCATCAGTGATCTACTATGAAAAAACCTTAGACATCTCCACCATACATGAGACGTCAGCTTTTTTTGCGAGGGGTCTTTCTTCTTTCCTTTCCTTACCACTTCTTTACTCTTCCTGTGTTTTTGAGGTCCTTGGGGTACAGTCCTTGTGTATCTTTAGGAGTCTTCCCTGTGCAAGATCTCGATTGCTCAATCGCGTCCTCCCAGTCTTCAACTCTAGCTTCGGCTGTCGTTTACACATCTCAATCGAAATCTCGATTTCTTTTTGTTCTCAACTGTATCGCTGACGCACCTTATCTCTCCACTTGACACCCTGTGCCATCAGCAGCCTGTGCCGAGCGAGTCATATTCCTTCGCCGGCTGCATCCATATCAGCCCCAAGTACCAATTGACGAGGCACGCACACACCCCTGGTCAAAGACCCTGGCAATACATCTGGACAAATCACCTCGTTCCACACGGACTCGTGGTTTGACACAAGGATTCTCTGGCATATCTGAACGACAGCCACGAGCCCCCTTCTCTCCATCAGTGGCTCGCTTTGGGTCAAGGGTGGTTCGTAAGACGATCCGCATCCTCCGATATTCAAGCTCTTTTTGGCTCCCTTGGCTCCCACGGCTCCCCACCTGGTCGTTGCTTAGCCGTTTCTACCGTTCTACCCCGGCCACAACCAATCGACAGGTCGCCTTGGCTGTCGTCAAGATCGTTCCTTATTTTTTCTGCAACCCTGCACGCCTCTTCGCGTGTGTAAAAGGACTGTCCTCCTCTGTTTTGGGACATACTCCTCTTCTCGAAAACAACCTGCGAGGCAACCTCATTTCCATCATTCGGCCTTCCCACTCGTTGTCCGACTAGATTGTCAGTCATGGCTACCGGCCACCACCTGACTACCCAGGAGCCTCAGGGCGAGGTTATGAACTATGGCCTAAATGCTCCCCACGGCCCCGATATGACGGGCACGCACCCTATCGCCGTCGATGCCAACCCGGACATGACCCAGAATGAGAGGGAAGTCTTCAACTACCTGTTGAGACCTGACGACAGCTATACTGAGAACGGCGTCTACTGGGCTGACCTCCCCATTATGCAACGTATCAAGTTCGTCAACAAGGTCAACAACATAGAGTCGAGAAGGGAACTGGGCGCATTCTGGACCATGTTCAAGAATGACCCTCTTGCTCCCATTGGCTTCTACATGCGCAACATGGTGCTACCTGGTGCTGGTCTTGGTCTCGAAGGTTACGTCCTCTTCTCCATCGGTAACGTCAAACCCCTGTTCCAGGCGGTTTTCCCCAACTGCTGGAGCAAATACAAGGTCTGCAACAAGCAATGGATCTACGCTGTCGACTATCTGGAGATTATTGGTATTATTGTCGGTCAGATCATGGTCGGTATTATTGGTGACTGGATCGGTCGTCGCTGGGGTCTCATTCAGGATGCTACTATCATGTTCACTGGTTTGATCATGTTGACTGCTTCCTGGGGTGTTACTCAAAACGGCTGGGTCATCTGCTACGCCTGGTCGCTCTTTTTCTACGGTATTGGTGTCGGTGGTGAATACCCTATGACTGCAACATCTGGTATGGAGAACGCCGTCGGTTCTGGAAAGGTTTCTACTCGAGACGATCGTCTACATCGTGGCCGCAAAGTCACCAGCGCCTTTTTGATGCAGGGCTGGGGTCAATTCTTCAACCAAGTCATCCTCATCCTCCTGCTGTTGATCTTCCACCACGGCAGCGGAAACCCACCCTACTCCGCACTCGCGGCCCAATGGACATACCGTGTCTCGTTCGCCATCCCCGCCGTCGGTACGGCCTGGTTGATTTACTGGCGTACGTTCAAGGTCAAGGCTGCTGCCAACAAGCAGCTACGCATTGCCAAGGCTAAGAACGCTGTAACTGGTTATGATACACAATCTCTGTCCCTGTGCTTCCGATACTTCGGTGGCCGTGTCCTTGCAACTGCTGGTACCTGGTACATGAACGACGTCTTTTTCTACGGTAACAAGCTGTTCCAGAGCGAATTTATCACTGTCATCATGCCCAGCAACAAATCCATCATGCCCGGATGGCTTTACAATTTGATCAACGTCGGTGTCTCACTTTGTGGATACTACCTGGCCAGTTTCCTCATTGACAACAAGCTTTATGGTCGCAAGCATATGATGACGCTCGGTTTCCTCATGTGCTTCATCTTCTTCGTTGTCCCGGCCTTCAAGTACAAGTACTATACTTCGCCGGGCCACATCAAGGAATTCCAGGCCATGTACTTCTTGTCATCCTTCTTCAACCAATTCGGTCCCAACTCCGTCACCTTCATTGCTGCCGCAGAGGTCTACCCCGTTGCAGTCCGCGCTACCGCTCACGGGTTCTCCGCTGCCTGCGGTAAACTCGGTGCCTTGACGGCTGCCGTTGTCTACAACTATCTTACGACACCACAGAAATTCTACTTTGTTCCTTGGTTCGGTCTGGCTGGTGTGTTCTTGACTGTCATGTTCATGCCAGACACCACTGGTCTTGATCTCAAGGAGCAAGAACGCCGCTGGGCATACATCCGCGCTGGTCGCGAACATGAATACCACGGTGTTGCCGTGCACCCCAAACATCTCAGCTTGTATGAGCGTTTCCGGGGCGTCGGCAAGGACTACAATCCTGATCTCGACTACAAGCAGCGTGTCGAGGAGATGCGTGGTGAATGGGAGATGCGCATGTCAGAGCGGGCCGCTGAGAAGGAGCTCGATCATGAAGACTTTGATGACGATCATCCATCCGAGGTGCACTCCTTCTTTGCCCGTTCCACCAAGTCTCCCAACCTTCGTGGTAATGAGAACGAGAAGATCCCTCCTATGAACGGCCAGAATGGTACCAACGGTATCTAAATGACCCAAAAACGACGTTGATACCCCAGGAGGAGATGATGATGTACAGGATAGAGCCGTGCGTTACAGACGGTCTTTTTTCCGCAGAAATTGTGAAAGTGGTGACGATTATGTGCAAACACTCAATCCCAAAATCCAGCAAGCGAGCACACACAGAGCACACAACGGTGTCATGTTTGTGGGCTAGGAAAGTAACCTCTGGCCTTTTGTGTGTAACAACTTTTTCCCTTTTGGTTCATGTTTATCCCTCATTAGACTTAATCTGAATAACGAAAATACCACTTTCTTTTTGCTTCAGAATCGTTCGTGATCGCTATTGAGATACATGCATTGCATTTGCTACTTGCCACCATGTGACTTGACACGGTTCGATGTTGAGATACTGGCGTTCCTTCCTCTGTCTCGCTGTGTACCTGATATTGTTGCCGCCCATGCGTCAGTGAAGAACAATGCGTCAATGGCGTCCGTCGTGACTTCATTCAGCGTATGCGTACGAGTACCCAGGGACACCACTAGAACGGTAGCCTGCCTTTCTTAATGTCTACGCTAGTACATCACACTAGTAGATGTACGATAGTATGCGTAGCGATAGTACGCTCGGCCCCTTTCACCATGAACGCATTTCTACATCATCGTGCAGGGGGCCGTACGTTGGCAGAACGAGCACGTGGATGGGGGCAGACCAAAGCGAGGCCAGCGGGTGATGCATGATCCCGCTCCGCTTGTCCCGTGTTCCTCTCCGCTGGGATTCAGGTGGCAATACGAGTACTGACCTCTCGAAAGGACGATCTCGGAAG